TAACTATGTACTCCCTCCGTTCTTTAATAGATGGGAGTATAACTTTTGGCACAAGTTTTAAGAAGGAATTAATAGGGGTAAGATAAAAGGTGTAGTGAGTTGTGTGTAAAGGAAAAAGTAGGAAAGAGAATGAAAAAGTATGAAAGAGAATGAGGGTATATAAGTATATTTATTGAAAAAACTTTCTAAAAAGGGAAAGAGAGACATGTATTGGAGAACATCCCAAAATGGAAATAGAGACATGTATTAGAGAACGGAGGAAGTATAATCCTAGAATAATCTGAAATTTATTGACAACCTTCCCTAGTTGATCCAAGTTACCTGCAACTTAGACAACCAGTAAAAAATATTAAAAGAAAAATAAATGGGCAGTAGGCTATTCATCTTCACCTGCGCTATTTCCCCCAGGTTCGTTGCTTCCTTCTTCCCTGTCTTGTCTTTCAATTTTTCTTTCTTTTCTTCCTCCACCTACATGGATTTTTACTCACCTTCGATTTCATTCTCAAATTTGTATGTCACTCTTCCAAAATCTAGTTTGACACTATTCATCACGTTCCATGACCAACACTGAATGACGGAAGGTCAAAGATGGAGACTAAGCCAGTTGATATGAACAGGCGTGTAGTGGCCATAACCAGATGGGAACGACGGAGGGCTGATGTTGAAAAACAACTAAAATGGACGGATGAGTGGTGATGAAGAACTGATAAGATGGAAGGGCAACGAAGATGCGTGGGACAGACGGCCGACGGTTCCTTATCTGACCTGGGTGGCGACGCTGGAACAGGGACAGGTCGATCGCCGATGTCTCCACTCACATGGTTCACCGGAACACTCGGACGCCTGGAAGGGAAAGAAAAATTGAAACGAAAAGGAAAAAAAGTAGAAAAGAAATAGAAAAGAAAACCAATAGAAATAGGCTATGTGTCCGATTTACCTACTGAATGGGTTTATGAAGGTCATCGGTTCATTCTGAGAAGATGCCTATGATAATTTGGATTATTTTAGAATTATGCATATTTATGATTAATATTGGAAGATGGTTAATAGTTGGAATTATTCATGTGAATTTTTTCTATTACTTTTTGTATTTTACCTTGCAATTGAAGTTATTTAATACGGTGTATGTATTCATTTTTAGGCACGCTCAATTGAAATGCTAGACCCGGCTGTGTCTGGATCTCCTAGCGACCTAGACGCTGGAGATACAAAGACAAAAATGGTCCTCACCTTCTCCCAGCCGAAGAAGACAGAAGACAAAGTTGAGGTACAGTTACTCAATCTCTCTGGCTGACGCCTCTCTAACAATTCGCTATCTGTCTATCAGCCTCCTTCTTTTCCTCTGAATGCTTGTCAATTCCAAGTAGAAGTTCATGTTGGTTTTAGTGTCTCTGAAGGATTCTTGGTACCTATCCGAAATGAAGATTTGACTAATTTGTTTACCTTTGGGGATTTTGTGTTTCACATTAGCTTGTATTGCATGCATTTATATCTTAAATGGCTGAATTTTATCGCGTACAAGTTAGTGTTTCACAAGTAACGAGACTTAAAAACAACAATTAATCATTATGTCATGAATACATGCATCCCACATAGAGATCTTGAATTCTGGATGCTATTCAGGAAGGAATTGGTCAAAAATCTGCAATGGAGCACCAGGTGATACTGTGATATGAAAACCATTATCCGGATTTGTATACAAAAAGTTTACTGCCCCCTCCTTCGTATTTGAATATTCACAACAATTTCCTTTTTAGTCCATATTTAAATAGTTGAAACACTTTCCTTTTTTTGGTAAGTTTTTTATTTAAAAAAACTCAATTACTCTTGTCTTTTCTACTTTTTATCTTCGCTTTCATACTCTTGCATCCTTCTCTCCTACTTTTTCTACACTATTTACTACCCCTACTATTTTACCCGTAAACTTTGAGAAAAGCATAATGTAACAAATAAATAAATAAATAAATAAATAAATACAGAGGCAGTATCTTATCTGATCTATGTAGTACTCCGTATGAAACATAGGTTGGTGACCTTTTATGCCATTTTCCTAGAATTTCCGGAGGTGAAAAGAATCGAATTTCATGAAGGTATTTTCTCTTTGTTTGGTGAGAGTAAATTTGGTTGAAATGATTGAATGTGCTGATATTTTGGTTGAAAGAAATATCATTCTAGCTTAAATGACCTTAAGTTTTTTTAAATAACTAAATATGGAGCAAGTAAAAACTGGTCAATTGAGTGAAACTATTCTTGCTCAATTGCAGGTTGAAGTTGAATCAAGCTACAGCTAAACTCTGGAATGCAAAGTTCACCACAAAATCTGCTTCTACTTCTGCAACATTTCCTTAGCCATGTTAAACAAGTGAAGCAGATCCACTGCCACCTCACCACCGCAGCACACCTCCGCTGTACAACTGAATGGGCCAATACCCTCCTCTACAACACCCTGATACGTGCATACCTAGGGTTTGCACAACCCACCACCACTCTCATCCTCTTCACCCACATGCTTGCCCATCAAGCCCCACCCAACAGTCACACCTTCCCTTCGCTCACAAAAGCCGTCTCTCTCCTCCAAACCAATTGGACTCCTCTTCTCAGCAGACCGCTTCATGCTCAAGCCCTCAAGCGTGGGGCATCTTCTGACCCTTTTGTACAGACTTCATTCCTTGGGATGTACTCGTTGTTGGGTGAGCTGGGAAGTGCATGCAAAGTTTTTGATGAAGTTCCAGAACCATGTGTTGTGGCTTATAATGCTATGCTTGACGCGTGTGGGAAGAATGGGAATATGGGTCTGGCCGTAATAACTTTTTCTACCATGCAAGAAAGAGACATTTGTTCTTGGACGAGCATGATCAACGGGTACGCGATAAATGAGTGCTTTGAGGAGGCCGTAAAGTTTTTCAAGAAAATGATGTCCCATGATGATGTAATTGCTGGCTCATTGAAACCCAATGAGGCCACTTTCGTCATCGTTTTATCATCATGCGCCAGCATAGATAACACCTCAACATTGTATCAAGGTAAGCAAGTTCACGGTTATATGGTGAAGAACGTGGAGTTGAGCAAATTCATGGCAACTGCGTTGATATCTTTCTATGGGAGATTGGGCTGTTTGAATTATGCAAAAAAAGTATTTGATTCACTAAAGGTCAAAGAAGTATGCACATGGAATGCTATGATCTCGGCCTTTGCTATGAACAGCAGAGATGAACAAGCACTGGATACATATGAGACAATGAAGTCTAAGGGGACGAAACCAAATGAGGTAACCTTAGTTGCGGTTCTTTCTGCTTGTGCACATGCAAAACTTGTGGAATTTGGTTTGGAAGTTTTTGATGCAATGTCCGGAGAACTTAAGGTTGAACCTAAGATGGAACACTATGGTTGCATTGTGGATCTCTTAGGAAGGGCTGGTCTTGTGAAAGAGGCGTATGAGTTTGTAAAAAGGATGCCTTTTGAAGCGGATGCCTCTGTTTTGGGAGCTCTTTTAGGAGCCTGTAAGGTTCATGGACAGGTTGAGATGGGAAATGAAGTGGGGAAACTGTTGCTGAACTTGCAACCAAAGAAGTGTGCAAGATATGTGTTGTTGTCAAGTATTTATGCCGGGGCTGAGAGATGGGATCACGCTGCTGCCTTGCGAAGAGAAATGGTTGATGCCAGGATTGAGAAAGTTCCTGCTTATAGTGTGATTCACTGAGGATGCGGGTTTGCCCTTATATCTGCAAAGTATTTGGGTTTGGAGATTTTTAAACATGAAGGCCAAAAGTTGAAAACATAGTTGAGGGCTCAAAATGGGATGAACTCTCTTAAAGTTTTATATTAACGTCTCCAAACTCTATCAGTAGGCTGAATATGGCTTTTAAGGCAAATCCTGTCAAATAATAGGGGCCATCATGAGAAAGTCAGGTGGTGAGGTGGATGCACTTTCACTTCGAGTGGTAGTTGCAACTTAGAAGAGTTTGGGCAAGGTCGGAATTAGGAAACTTGGGTGGACTAATTGGAAAAGGTATGGGCCGTGGTGGGGCTGTGGTGGAAGGGGAAATTCTCGAGAAACCCCTCTTCCTTCTTAACTCTGAAGGAATAAATTTTTGTTTTCAGAATGATCGTTTCAGGCTTTCAGCAGATGAGCAAAGAGATGGAGAGGCTGGGTGATTTGTCAACCCCATAAGTATCTATTTTCTTACTCCATTTATGCTTGGTGTTATTCTTGTGAGAGCCTTGGCTAATGATGTAATATTGCAGCTTTATCTGCAGTACCAAAAGAGTTTCTAGTTTTTGAGTACAGTTGTGGCTTAATACGACTAGTTTTTGTGCTCACATCCGCCACAAGAATTCTTTTGGATTCAGAATGATAATATTTGATGATAGTTGAACGATCTTCATTTTAAAATTGTGCTAGCAAGTTGCACTAATCGCCAAAGAATTGATTGTGAATGAAATAAAGGGAAAATTCCTGAAATAGGAGTAAAAAAGTCTGAAAATTCCAAAATAGGATTGTCATGTTTTTATTCCCAAAATAAGAGTAATTACTGCCAAAACATGACAATAGTTAGTCCTATTTTGGGAATAAAATCATGATACTGCTATTTTGGAATATACAAACAACTTTAGTCCTATTTTGGGTAATTTCTTTAAAAGAAATTAAAAAAACAATTCACATTCTCACTCTTATTATGTTCATTAAAATTGCCAAGGAATAAAAAATGCTTTTATTTTCGTAAAAGTGGTTTTTATTCTAAAAGAGAACATGCGAACAGGCCTCTGAGGTGGAAGATAAAACCAATAAGTATTTCAGAAAAGTTCCAGTGTGAGCAGTGGTAGACTCATAAAAATAGAGTCAAAGATCCCTAAAATAAACTCTAATTAATACTACGTATAAGTTTAATAAAAATATAATAAGCAAAATATTAAAGAAACTTATCATTTCATAGTTAATGTACATCAAAGTATTACGTTTTTTACTCCGGAAGCTAAATCATCACGGCGGGGTAGATGGTGGAGAACACTAGCCAAATTTTATTAATAAGGAAAGTACAAGAAGAGAGGGGACATAAAACCAAAACTCTCCGGAAGAGGCATACTTTCTTAGAAATACAAAATTAACAAGCAACATTAAAGAAAAAAACAGAAGCTAAAGCAATAAATCATTTTTTTTAAAAACACAGGGCACCAAAACTACAAATGTGCTTTTCCTGGCAACAAGAAGGGGGAACTATTATGTTTTTTTATTCATTTTTTCCTTTGTTGCTTTCTTTTTTATCTTTTTTAGAGATAGAACGTTTAATGTTTTCCTTAGACTAATCGCAACCCAATTTCGTCAATAAATTAAAATTCACTTTCGTTTACATTTATTGACTCAATCTAATAATTACTGTAATTGAATATTGATTTTTAAAAGTTCATAAAAATCTAAGTGTATTCAATTAGAATTTTTAAAACTCAATAACAAATTATTTAATACTAAAGTTTAGATGTTTCAGAATTTTAAAAAAGAACAAAAGTTCAGATGTATTGAAAATAATTATGAAATCATGGATTTGGATAACCATTCATAGTGATTTCCTTCAAGAGATTTGAAGAGATTTTCTAATCGCTGCTTTCTTCCTTTCTCCCAACCGTAACCAAAACAGCCACATCAAGCGTTTTCTCTTTTAGATTTCAATTCTTCCTTGTATTGCTTATTCTTCTCTCAAAACTTTTTTGTTCAAATCAACAAATCTGCATGCTTTACAAGCTACATTTCTTTGCTTTAAAGGAGTAGGTCTACATTCGTTGCAGGAGTTTCCAAGAAATCTTCGCTCCACGGCCACCAGAAATTCTCTACGTTGCGACAACCTTGCTCACTGCTAAAGCTCCAATGTGGATCTGGGTATACATCAAAATGCGGATCCAAAAGCTCGTTTCCCCGTTATGATGTAGAACAAGCTGCTGAAGTGATTCCAAAGGTAGAATCTCCCCGTAGTTGTTGTCACTGGAGCCTCTAGAGTCTAGAGGAAATGGCAAAGCCATTGCCTTGACTTTAGGAAAAGCGGGATGTAAGGTTTTGGTTTATTATGCAAGGTCCTATAAAGAGGCTGACACAAGGTGAGTTTTAAGTTAGGGGAAGACATTAAAAATATGGAACCAAATCCCATTATTAGTATATAATATACGAAGTCTATAGGTTTCTTGGAAGTCCACGGGTCCCAAGACCCCTTGGAGTTGGGGCACGAGGTGAGTTTGCCATTGAGCGTGAGGATGAGTTGATGTCACATAATTGCATTTCAATTAATTAACATATCTCTAGCAATTTCATAGACACGTCAAAACATAATGTAAAAACAAAGATTATAAATGTAACAAATACAAAAAACGTAGGTATCATAAAAGACTAAACAGTACGAAATGAGATAGATTTTCTGTCTGGCCATGATTCTATTTTCTGAAAATACTTCACCTGCACTACTCCATCAAAACCTTCAGTCAAGATGACTTTGTTTTCAGAGATGTAAAGCTTCATTCCTTCTGAAGTAAAATGAGATATAATCATGGGGCATTAGATGGTGATTCAAAGGGATTACCCAAGTCATCTATACTTGATTGCTTCTAGTTTTTCAATTAATTACCTTCCAATGCTTTTTTGACATCCAGAAAGATGAGCATATTGACATCTCGCCTCATTCCTGCAAAGCCAGCAAACATGTCAAACCAATGAGAAGAGCACCACACGTATCTATCGTTCTATCTCACATGATTCAACAACTACTGTCCTCACTCGAACATCACTTTTAACCTATGGCGAACTTGATCATTAACCTTTTAGGATTTTTTTTTTCCTGATGAAAGTATCAATTGCAAGCTTCCAACCCATACACAATTTTAAATATATTACTATCTTACCACTAATTACACCACCATCGGTTGGTAAGCCACATGAGAAGTGTACATGCAATCTTCTCATGCGTTTGAGACCTTGCTCTAAAATCGATTGCAAATCCTTCTTGTATGTCCCATGCACACAAACTGCAATTTAAACAAATCGCCATAAGGAAGATGTACTACGGCAAGCATACAACATGCTAGAGAAAGAATGTTCAAAGCACATGTCCATCATATCTTTACCCGGCACTTCTTCAGCTGAAATGATCGGTTTCAACAAGCTTTCTGTTTCAACCGTCTATCCACGCCGTTCCCAGAAAGACAAAGAGAAACAACTCAATCAAATTCCTTGCTAGAATAAAGCACTTGTTTGAATGCATTGGGAGAACTGAAATTGCATATTACATACTGCCTATAAGTTGCACCCCCACCATCATTATTATATATTCATTGGAACAAAATGAACTTATACAAAAAGAATGACCAAGCAACAATGGGAGCAGTAAGCGCTGTGCGTCAGTACTTTCAACATTGAGATCTTTTTAAATGTTCATTTTCTGGTAGAGGGAATAGATACCGCACAATGAAGATAGCTTAATACGTGAGGAACTCCTCACCGTCCATCCCAAAAACACAAAGAACAGAGTCCTGTTTGACCAAGGTACAATTTAAACTTTGATATGGAAAGCTGTTCTAAGTCATTATCAAAGTTGTCATATATAGGGAGGGTTTGCGATTGCTTCTACTTTATAAAAGTAATTTTTAAAGTGATTTTAGAGAAAGTGCTTAATAGTAAAAGTTGGTAGTGTTTGAGAAAAAATGTTTTTTAAAAAGTAAAAGTTGGAAATGTTTGGTAAAAATGGTGTTTTGTGCAATACAAAATGTGAAAAACACTTTAAAGCACCCATACACCTACTTCCAACTATCAGCTTTGAAGTGCTTAATTTAAGCAGAAGTTGTCACTTGAAAACCCTCAATTCAGTTTTTAATATGCCAAAAGCTGAATAACACTTTTTAAATTTTTCAGAAACACTCCATTAACTTATGTCCGAAAACAGTCTCTTTGTACTTGAGTACAAGGGTAAGACTGCATACATCCGACCCCCCCTTACCCCACCGTAGGTGGGAGCCTTTGCGGCACTGGGGTAATGATGATGATGATGATGACTCCATTAACTTATGCATCACTGTATTACTCTTCTATAGAAAATTACATGAAAAAATAGTTCCAGTTCATCAAAGAAGACTCCACTTTTTTCTTCAGGGGAGTACATAATATCTGTGGACAAATGGATTACCTCTATTGAGTGCCCTTGGTTTGCACGAACCCAAAGCTCTCCACTTTCTTCTAACAAGCTTAACCTTTGTTTGTTATCTTTTCTGACTGCCTGAGATATATGAGCAAAAGGTGTAACATTAATTTGCAACTTCTATAAACTTGGTATACACTATAGAACTTCTATTTATAGGACTTTTAAATTGCAACTTCTATAAACTTGGTATAGACTATAGAACTTCTATTTATAGGACTTTTAACTTGCAACTATACTATAATTTCTTGAAACTTACAATGCTTATAAAGCAAAATAATGAGCTTAAACCCAACAGAAATTGGAAACCTAGACCTAGGGAAACCTTAATGTCTCTAAAACTTGGTATAATCATATCCTTTACTTTAACATAAAGTGAAGGCGGGAATATTACAATGCAAAAAGATGAATGCTTGACAGAAGTTGTTGACAACAAAATCAAGTATTTTCAAAGGTGCGTGTGAATTTAACCTAGAAGCAATAGACAACACTAAAGGGAGAAAGTCTTTGCTGAAAACAAACCTCTTTGATATCATCAACTGTGTGCAACCTCAATGGAATATTGGCAAATGTTTTTAGATGTAGTTTCAATAGATCTTGGACCTTGACAAACCCATCGCTCCTCATATTCAAATTTAGCTCTGAAGCCATGTGACGAAGAATTCGAACTCTGAAGTGAGCCCACAAAAAAAATGTATTCATACCCACTTGTTTTCATTAACAAATACATAGGAGATTAAGAACAAGGAATTTGAATGTATACAGGGATTCAGGCATAGTGATCTTTGTCAAGCTATCAACTTCCAATCCTTTTATAATGACAGTAATAACAATCTTGACAAAGATCACCAGTGCAAAGCTTTTCTGAAACAACCAGAGAAGCATACATTTTAAGTGGAATACAACTCACAGTTTCACACCATTGTCCACTTCAGAAAAGGTCTAAATTGTAGCGGAACAAAACAAATAACACTAACAAGATAATCTTTGGAGCGGCCTCTTGTAAAAAATGACAAGGGAAGGGTTGCTCCTTATACACCCTTGTGGTGGGACTCTTCATCGGACCCTCTCCTTGCGGGGATGCCAATGTGCCCCGGGCTGCCCCTTTGTTATTTATTATTATTACTTCGGGGCGTGTTTCCTGAGTAAAAGGTAATTACATAACTGTATCATCATATCATTAAGGAGTGATGCCCCTTTTAGACGAGCTGAGAGGTGGGAGAAGAGGTGGGAGGAGAGGGAGAGGTACACCCAAACAAACTTGGATTAGAAGAAACAGAACTAATATGGGTCCTCTTGAGTTGGATGAGAGTATAGCTTTGGAAAGAGCAAAGTGGAGGGCGCATATTCGTGTGAATGATTGATCTCTTTTCTCTTTTCTCTCGTTTTCTTTTATCTTTTATGTTCTTTATCTTACTATGCTCTTATGTTATTTTTATCTTTTATCTTTCTTATGTTCTTTTATTTTTTTTATCTTTTATCTATCTTATGTATTGATTCAAATTGCACAATGCAATAGCGCATTGAGGCACGCCACTCAAGGACATTCTACAGAAAGGCGTAAAATTGCATTGCCAAAGGCACAAGAGTAGAAACATACGCTATGTTGCTCAGAGGCGTACGCTATCTGCAATGCGCAACAAGGCGCGGTGAGGCGGTTGTCTTATAAGCTGAAGTAGATATGTGGGCCAATAAGGCCCACTTTATATTTTTTTAGTTCGCCATAGTGTACACTATTCCATTCGTTGCTTAACCCTGCGTTGCCGACCTGTGTGTACACTATTCACCATAGTGTTCCCTATCTGCATTGCTGCTTAACCCTTAGGTTGCTGCGTGATTCGCAGGTGCTTCTTCATAGGCCGTAAACTTCATCTGATGAAGTTTCATATGCTTCTCATTTAACTTCAATGCTTTTTGTTAGAAATATTATCGTATATGATTGTCATACTACGTATATTAGTGTCATGGTTTTAATCTTAATTTCAGTTAATAAATTATTTTACATCGTTTTCATAATTGATATAGAAATTTAATTCTACATATTATCTTAACATTAATATTAATGTTAATATTATCTTAATTAGAATTTGTTATTATATTACATTTGATGGCTTTTGATGATTACTATTCTTTATTTTTCATTGTGTTTATAAACACACACAAACATATATAGGCATACATAAATTTTACGCCTCAGCCCTCAGGTATACGCCTCATTGCGCAATGAGGCTTACGCAATATGCAATAATAAAAAATCGTCACGACTATGCAACTCCCAATTTCGAACCTCAATCTTATGTTCTTGTGTTATTTTTATCTTATATTTATTTTTGTTTTATTCATTTTATCTAACCTTATCATTTTATTTTTGGTTCTGATATCATGGATTGCTTCATGTTAGTGATAGAAACCTCACAATTGCAGTAGAAATCAAGTAATATATTGATCCAACCTCAGATTAGAGAACAAAAATAACGAAGAACAGATTTGAGACACTTCGAGCAGTCTCCCTCTCCCAAGTCCCAGTCTAATCCCAATTTCTGCCTAACGACCATCTTCTCCCCTTTCCCTTCTTATAATAAGGCTATTCTCAAGGGCTGGCCCAAAATCATAACATAAATGGCCCAACACCCTTATTTGTACACTATTACATTATTTATTATAATTCTTTTATTCTTATTATTATAGGCTGTCCATGTCCCTATCATATCTCCCCCCTTGAATAACCACCTTGTCCTCAAGGTGGGTGATATGGAACAGCCTTGTTGACCTTCACCATCTTCTTCATCCGGGCGCCTCTTCCTTCCCAGTACCTCGCAGTTTGTTGAGTCAGAAGCTTCAGCACTTATACCTTCAAAATCACAGATGTTGCTGCAGAAGATATGTCGAGTGCAGTTTCACTTGTTGCAGTAGAATTCAAGCACTCAATGACTCCAATCAATTCCTCATTTTTAAAAAACTCCTCAAGGACTCTCACTTCTGAAACTGTCACTGAGCTGGATGCAGATTTGAGGTTGCTCAAGTTAGTCAATTCATTGTCTATAACAAGCCCTATGCAAAATAAGTTGTGCACTACAGTGCTGCCATGCGATGTCAGATTCTCCAACCGCCAAGGTCCCCAGTCTGGGACATTCTTTTCTTTCTCTTCCCTTATAAGAGAGCCAAAAGCTCTTGCAGCAACAGAACGAGCTTCAGGGACTGGATCCTGATGAGCTTTGGGCAGAATAAACATGAACATATTGTTTTCCTGATTCTTAAAAGTGATAGTCACCCCAAACTCTATTTTATGAACATTTTCTTCAACCTTTTCTTCATCACTGCTACCAAGAGCAAAATTATCAACAGCAACTTGCTTAACCAGATCTTCATCATAACTCAGCAGTTTCTCACATAAGGCAGACACACTCTGAGGAGTTACAGCTCTAAAAGGATCAAAGAACAAACCAGTTTTAACAGCAAGAGGCATGATTGAAGACAATGATCTTACTGAATTAGATCCACCAATTTCTTGCAGTTTCTTTATGTCAATAAGATGTGTAGCTAACTTGCTCGGTGCGCCAAGAGCATAGTAGATCATCAAGGGAACCTCGCTATATTCGGCTTCTGCTGATTCCGAGGAGCATAGTTTATCAGTCGGATTATTGGGAACAGGGACCCACTGACCATTACATTCAGTATCACTTTCACTTACTTCCAGAGAACGTTCATCTGTAATTTTTCTCACATTTTCCTCTGGGATAAAGATGGGTTGGACAGAGATTTTCTTATAGTAGTGAAAGGCACCCTCCTTGTTCACTTTCACACCAATGGCAAAATTCCCACTGGCACAACTGTCAACAGTAATCACCTTCCCTTTTTCTTCCCTCACAGGCTTGACATCTGAATTACTGAAAACTGATCCTACGAAAGCACTAGTCTGTGAAATATCCTTCATCAATTGCCTTGCCAAAACGGGAGGCTCCACTTGGGCTGGATCTAATTTACCTGAACTTATTCCAGTGTCTTCCTTTATAGGCATGTTTGGATCATGTTGAATATTTGGTGGAGATGCAATAGGTTCAGGAGTATCATCGTCCTGCTCCGCTTCCGAGACTGATGGGGCAACAGACAAGCCATTCCCGATTCTACTAGGTCTACGGTTCTGGATGCGGTTGACACTTGCGCACTGAGAGGAGCCGTTCACGACTGCGAGCTGGAAGGATACAATAGCGACGAACTCTGCAACGTGTGAGAAGATGTAATATGGGATGAGACCTGCGAACAAGGTAGATCTGTTCGCGGTGATGCTGAAGCAGCTTGCGATGACGTCTGCGTACGCGAGGATGCTTGCGAACTAGGTGAAATCATTCGCGATTGCGAACTAGGGAAACTGGTTGGCGAAGTCGATCCGTGAGGAGAAGAGACCTGCGCAGATCGCGATTCAGAAGGCCGATGTCGAGATCGAAGCTGTTCGCTCATCGCGGCAATGGATACCGCCATGTTTGCCGCCATGTTTGCCACCATGTTCTTCATTGCTGAACAGTGATCTCTCATCTCTGCTTTCATCTCCTCTATAATTCGTTCCATATTGTCAAAACTCTTCTCCATTCGGGGAGTCATATAGGCTTCCTCCATAGTTCCAGATTGTTGTTGCTCTGAGATGATCGGTGATTCCGATTCTCTGCCTCCAGGAAGAGATTGCTCTGATACCATTGATAGTATGATAGGGTAACTGGAAGCATTCCACTAATTTCTGAGAAATGAAATTGTGGGAAGCTCCACTATCAATCAACACCTCCACTTGCTTTTCTCCCAGATCCCATCTCAGAATTCCCTGCACTTTGAAGGCTTTCATTGATGGAATCCCTTCCTTGCTCAAAATAGAGAGCTGCATGGATTTGGATTCCATATTGATCACGTCATGCTCTGCAATTTCAGGTTCTTCTTCTTCCTTCACGTCCTCCTCCCCTTCTGAATCTTCTATTAATATCAGTTTGTAATGCTTCAGCTTGCATGTGTGCTCTTTGTTCCATTTTTCCCCACACTTGAAACACAACCCTCTTCGGCTTCTATCCTGATACTCTTCTTGTGACAACTGGGGCCCTAACCTTCGACTGCCAGAAGGGTTGATTTCAGTTAGCTTCTTCCCAGTAGGGTTTACCTATGCAGGATTATTCTTAGCATCAGTTGCTCCCTTCCCATTATTGTTGGACCAGGAGTTTCCTATTTTAGATTTCAATTCGTCCACCCAGGTCTGTGTCTGGGCAATGGCCTTTCCCTTCTCCTTTCCTCTAAGATACATTGCCTCGTTTCTCTCTTCAATCAATAGGGCCCAGTCCATTACTTCAGCTAAGGTAGTCGTGTTGTGCAGTTTCAACTCAGCCTTAACCTCTGCCTTCAAACCATTGATAAAAATGCCTTTCAGGATTCCCGTATCCACATTAATCTGGGGTGCTATCACCATCTCAAACTCGTCTCAGAATTCCTGCACTGTTCCTGTCTGTTTCAGACTTAGCATAGGACCGTAGGGGTTTTGGATCAAGTCAGGTTGGAACCTTCTGATAATAGAGGTTTTCAGAGTTTCCCAGTTCCTTCTCTCCGCTTGATGCTCCCACCAAATGAACCAGTTAATCGCCCGTCCTTCCATTGCGACCACAGCGGCTTCAACCCGTTCTTCTTCCTGAATATGATTTACTCTGAAATACCTCTCCATCCTTACGATCCAGTTGTACGCACTATCTCCAGAAAAAATTGGTATGTCGATTTTCCTACCGGTTTGGATAGAAAACCGGTTAGGGTTCTCAGGATCTCGATGAGGATGGATGAGAGCGTGAGTGGGGTCATCTCCAGATATCGTAGGGCTGCGAGAAGCGCGAACACGATGCTGAGGTGGCGATCGCGATCGAGCTCTGATCCGGTTCGGATCTGATATCGCTTTGATGGATGCAGACAGCTCTGCGGCCAATGCCTCCATTGCTGAACGCAGCTCGTCCTTCATGGTTCTATTCTCGTTCTTCAGCTCAGATTGCACCTCATTTATTCGTCGCTCAACTGTATCCAAACGCGACTCCATATTGGCCCTCGTTTTGACCATTCACTACTGAAAGATCCGTCACCAGGAACGGTGATGCTCTGATACCAATGATAGTACCTAGCAACACCAGATCTCACAGAAATGCAGAAAATGATAAAAAAAAGTATGAGAACAGGGTGAGAACTTTTATTCAGACAATAGAACAGATCACAAATGGATACAGTGCCCTAGGACCATTCGAGATGTCCAATCTCCCAGTCTATAATTATCTGAATAACAGCCTACCTTATTTGTGCTACCCCAATTCTATTTATAGTACTCAGTCCACGCAGGGACCAAACTGAAACAAAGTAATTCACTAATTGACCCCTGCTCCCGTTTGCCTCCTTTTATATACTTTATTAAAGAAATGACTAGGCCTTTGCACCATATGCCTATCAGTTAGTCGACCCAAAAATCTTTTGGGAATAAGGTTTAGATGTTGCAAATGTATTGTTACTCGTTGTGGACAGCATAAAAATAAATCTAGGATATTGCAAATGCATTTCCAGAGAAACGCATAACATAACAAATAAAAAGATACGAAGGATTGAACATACAGTAACCGACCAAGAGCATCAACTTTATCTTTTCCATAGCCACCACCAAGACTGCTCGACCTTTCACTGTTACCCCTTGCATTAAATCCTCTCCCTCTACCGTGGCTGGTGTAATTCAAATCACAATAACATGAAAATCAATTAACATAAAAAAATGACAGTTAGACCACAACTGGGGGAATGTAATTCAAAAAATATTAAAGATACCTGTGCTTTGAAGGTGCAAACCCAGAAAAAGAAGAGGTTGGGTTTTTGTGTGAATCCATTATAGTTAATATGCGAAAGCTGGACTGCAGAGAGAACGGTGTAGAGGAAGTACGGGGAAGTTGAAGAAGACCGTTGATGCAGCTTTGAAGAAACCGAAATCCACTATAGTTCACTAAAGAAGCTGTACGCATAAGGGAGACTGACTAATTGAGAAAGTTGTGCTAAGTCTGATGGTGATAGGCGATGCCCAATTCACTGCAAAGCAATACACAGAGACAGCAGTGGAATTGCAGAAGTAAAAATATCAACTTAAGCTGCCAGATATAGAAGAGGGAAAAAAGCAACAACAGAAATATCCTCAACTACAATTCAGTGAGTAAATATATTAAATCAATTTCATTCAGTCAAAATTGAAACCCCCCCAGTAAAAACTAAAAGAGACTGTGATTTATCCTTGCTGATATTTCTAACAGTTCATTATTCACCATCAAGATGATCCAAAACATGACAACAATAACCCTGCACTACAAAAAAGTGAAGCAAAAAAATAACTGAAAAACGTTTGTTTGAAACTCGCCATGAGATCATTTTTTGTATGATGTTTGTCCCAATCCTGAATAAAGGAGGTGTGTGAGTGTGTGACGGCCAACAATATCACTTAAACACATCATATGACATGAATTGAAATATGAATATCGCTACAACTAGGGCGTTGCCTAGAAGTGACACATCATCCCTCCGCCCAGGGTGGTGTTAAATATGCAAGGGCCATACACTTCATAGGCCTAGGTATGGTGATAAGAATGCTAAAGTTGTTAGGTCATCGCCAGAAAGCGGCGCGCCACCCCTTTGCCCAGAGATGGTGTAAAATAGGCGAGGGCATGGTGGGGTCGAAGTGGTGTTAAGAATAGAAAATGAAGTGCTAGATTGTGTTTTAAGACGTGGAATGTTGGATATCCTATGAGAAGGTTATGAAGAGGAGGAATGCCAACATTATGTGCGTGCTAAAAACTAAGCGGATTGGAGAGAAGACACATGAGATTAATCTCAAAGGTTTTAAGTTATGATATTCATGGAGAGAGAAGATCATAAGAAGAGTCAACATTATTGTGACGTGTGCCTATGTTGAGGATATGGTGGAAGTATTTAGGAAGAACAACCGCATCAATTTATGAGCATCAAATTGATGTTAGGGGATCAAATCATGTCCGTGGTAAGTGCCTATGCACCACAAGTGGAATCAAATATCTGTCACTCAACAATTTCAGGAAGATGTTGAGGAAGTGGCGTGAAGAATGCCATGGGGAGAGAAAATGGACATACTAGACGACCTTGATGGGGACGTGGACCCGAGTTGTGATGGTTTTGAAAGTATTCATGGTAGACATGGTTTTGACACTAGAAATGAAGCGGGAAATAACGTTTTGACAAACATGCAAGAATTGATTATAATGAATACTTGGTTCAAGAAAAGAGACTCTCACATTGTGGCCTATAGATATGGGGCTAATATAAGTCTAATAGTACTTAAATTATCTACATAGTACAGACTACATGGAGAACTAGCTACATTGATTGTAAGGTTATCCCGAATAAGAGTGTTGTCACTCAGCATATGATGTTTGTGCTTGATTTTCGAGGTAAGAAATATAGAAGAAGGATAAAATAATAAGTGCAGTCAAAGATAAAGTGGTAGAGGTTTGAGGGGGGTCTCCAACATAATTTTGCACATAAAATGTTTGGTAAAGATATATGGTGTATTGATAATGATGCACATGTGAAAGATGTGTGGTTATCAATGGAGTTGACCATCAACAAAGTGACTATTTTGTGGTTCCTGATAAATTTTAGAGTTCTGAACCCACCTATGACTAGTTGGAGTGGTGAGGTATTAGGAGTCCAAAACGTTAAAGGTGACATTTTTGGACTCCTAATTTCATACTTTGGTGGGTTAAAGAGTGTAGTAAAAATGGGTAAGGGGATGGAGGGGTTTAAATTTGGATGGGGTATTGACAGCCAAAGAAAAAGGAGAAATAAAGTAAAAGGGGGAGTTTGGCGGAGGGGCTGCTATGCAGAGAGGGAAAGGGTAGGGAAAAAGGGAAAAGGGGATATACTCCTATCAAAATTCATTAAATTATAATTTTGTTAAACACTTATAACTCTTTAATTTTTTATCCAAATTTTTCTAAAAAAATTCAAAATTCATGAATTTTTATGATTTTTCACATGACACCAATATGTAATATATAAAAATGAAAAAATATATCTAATTTTTTTTATTATTAGAGTTTTCTTGAGCTCAAAATAACACGAAACACAAATTTTTAATTCATGGATCCTCCACAAATAACTTAATATTCCACAATCGAACTTTACTTGAACTAAGTTCATTTTTGTTAACCGAAAAAATGTTAAACAAAATTAATGAAATTTATTTATTTTTACATAGAAATGTGTATTTTTTATTTCATAATTATTCAGGGGAAAATTAAAAGAATAAAAAAATTAATGTTTTACTAAATTGATATGTAAAAAAATATGCAGAGTGTATTTTATTGACGGTGCTGGAATGAAGGGAAATAAGAGTAAAAACATTGTTTTCATATGGACAGAGTTCATTTTTGACATTTTGGACTCCACACCACTCCAAATGATCTAAAGAACGGGTGAAATCGGTTAATGCTCTCACTCAGCAATCCAGTAAGCTAAATAGCTAATACTGTAAAGATATTTTGATGTAATCGATACTCCCAATATTCCTAAAAATAAAGAATGCTTCACAGTACAGACGCTTCAAAATTATGGATACTGCCAACATTTAAAAAAGTGCAGATTAAAGAATTATAAAAATACAGCCTTGTCATTCTTTTATAACAAAGAAAGTAACTATCAGGAACCTCAAAATGAGGTCTGTATACTGGTTGTTATCTTACAAAATGGGCTAACTAAAGTCTAAAGATCACTAGGGTAGTTGTTTCGGAATTGAAATCTTTTTACCATTGATCGAATATTTTTTAATGAATAAAAGTCCAATTAAAACAAGGCTTAATTTTTGTTTGAGAATACTCCGTATTTGATATGGTTGGAAGAATGAAATACCTGGATATGGAAGAGTAATGAATGGTCGATCAGAAGTAGTATGGCGGTGAGGCGGACGGGAGCGGTGGAAGGTCGGTGGTACCGCGGTGGGTCTGTCGAAGCGGTGCGCCGGATGCCGGGCAGTGGTTGCTCTTTGGCTCGTCCTTGTCTGGTCGATGGACGATATGGATTGCGCGGAGGAAGACGCGGACACCGGAAGAGCATCACAGCCACCGCTTTCGATCCTTTTTTTAAGCCAGTTTGGATTGAGCTTGAGGACGGTTAGTAAAATGGGAGTGTTAGTAAGTGTTGATGTTAACACTTGTTTGGAAGAAAAATTCAGAGGTGTTAAGAAGTGTTAGTAATGGTTAGGAAGTGTTAATAATAACCTTCCCAACACCTCAATTGTCCATTTTTTTAACACCCCGATTTGGAGTGTTTTGAGGTGTTAGGACAATTATTACCCTTCTCATTTACCCGAAAAAACATAAAATGCTTTGACATTTCACTTCGAATGTCTTTCCCACAAGTCTGATGGTTTGTTTTTTCATCTCTTCTCTTTACTCGTTTCTTTTGCCTCAAGGTAAAATTATTAACACTTCCATTATTAACACTTCATTCATTTGACTCACCCAAACAAGGTAAAATTATGTCTAACACTTACACTTCCCATCCCTTCCGAGCCCTTACTAACACTTACTAACACTTCCAAACACTCCATCCAAACAGGCCCTTAGTGTTGGGACTCTAGACTGAACGTGTGCAGTAGTATTAGCCTACTAGGCGTTCTTTCAGCGGCCCACGTTTTCTTTCAAGGAATTTCTATTGGAGTTTTTATTTGAATATATTACTAATTTTGAACCAATTACCAAAAAAGTGAGCACTTTTAAAAAGGGGCAAAAAAGTGACCAATAAGATCATATTAATGTCATTCCCAAATTTTAATGTCACTGTCTTTTTTTAATGTCACTATCAAATGTCACTGCTTCCACCGCCCGTGTCACTGATGTTATTGCCTGTGTGACTGTAGCCACCGCCCGTGTCACTGCGGCCACCACGCGTCCCTGCGGCCACCGCGCGTGTCACTGTAGCCACCACCCGTGTCACTGTAGTCATCGCACGTGTCACTGTAGCCACCGCCCGTGTCACTCTAACCACCGTCTGTGTCATTATGGTTGCCGTCGACGTGTCACTATAACCGCCGCCCATGTCACTATAATCTCTAGACCTTCCACCGCCAGCCGCCACCGCTCTCCACCATTGCAGGTACCCTGCCGCCGCCCCACTCCGACCACCACTCGCACAGACCTCCTCCAACCCCGCCACCCCAGCCCTGCTCTGCACCCCCACAAACCGTCACTTTTTGCCCCGACCTCCTACAACCCGTAACCTAACACAGAGTAAAAGACTCAGATCTGCGAATTCCGGACAGAAGAAAGTCAGATTTGCATAATAAAAGCCTTAGATCTGCGGATTCCGGGCAGAAGAAATGAGAACAAGATAACATAGCAGGCGAGCGATGGATGTCTGCGGTGCTCCAAGCTTCTCGTCGCTGGCCGGAGCTCCTCTCAGCCGGTGGTTCGCTGTGTATTCGGCAATGGAGGAGCGATGGAGATCGATCAATCCTTGCTGTGAGCTCGACGATGGAGGCGATGGAGGGCGATGGAGACTGATGGATCCTTCTTCCCAGCCGCGTTCGATGTGTTGATGGGAAGAGAAGCCGTCGTCCCTGGTTCGTGCGCAGGAGAAAAGAAAGAGCGGAAGTTTGAAGGCGGGTCACTTTTTGGTCAAAACATAATTCACTCATATTTTTGCCTAATAAAAGATGTGGGGTTATATTTGTGCCATTCTTTCATTTCTATTTGGGGCTACTTATTTATTTGGGAAAATTTCTGAAATAGGACTAAAAAAAATTAAAAATTTCAAAATAGGACTACAATGTTTTTTATTCCCAAAATAGGAGTAATTACTGCCAAGTTTGGACAATACTGTCATGTTTGAAGTCTGGTATTGCCAAAACATGGCAGTAATTAGCCCTATTTTAGGAATAAAAACATGGTATTCCTATTTTGGAATTTTCAAACATTTTTAGGCCTATTTCGGGTAATATCCCTATTTATAGGGAAAATTTTTAAAAAATTCAAAATTTCATTTCCAATATAGGAGTCATATATTCAAAATTGTCATATTTTTCATTTCCAATATAGGAGTCATTATTATCAAGTTTGAAAAATACTTTCATATTTAAAATCTGATACTGTCAAAACATGACAGTAGTTAGTTTTATTTTGGTAATAAAAACATGATAGTCCTATTATGTAATATACAAACGTTTTCCCCGATTCAACTTTTCCCCCGTTTTGACTTAAAACCACGTTTGATCAATAAGTATTCTATTTCTATATAGTTTATCTTCATATTACTACGATAAAAAATAATTTTGACATATTTATAACTTTTTAGAGTGTATATATACATTTTTAGAGACTAAAAATATATAAATCTCTACATTTATCAATTATTTATTTCATTATTTATGATTTTTATACATAAACCATAATGTCTAATGATTATATGAGCTATTTCTATTTTCAAAATAACATAAAATTATTGGTAATATATTTAAATTTCAATGAAAATAAAAAAAAAACAAAGAAATAAAGGAAAATACCTAGGCGCCCTAGTCGGGCTATAGGCTCCCGTCTAGGCGGGCTAGGCGTTAGACGGCCAGTCACCGCCCGACTAGCGCCTAGCGCCTTTTAGAACACTGGGTAGTAGTCATCCCACTTATAGAAATGAGTTCTTAACATGATATCAGAGCCAAATCGATCCATGGTATGGGGTCCCCTTATGAAAAATGATGACACGATTATAAAAAAAATAACAAAGACGAACCGACGAAAAAATGAATGACGGCACGATCCAGACGAAGTGTCTGGTCGTGAGGAGGGGTGTTAGAGTCCCACTCCGGAAATGTTTGAATCAACGAAGTGCTATATTAAAACATGAATTGCTCCTCCTATCAGGCCCAAGATCACCATATTAATAGATAATAGAATACATTAAACAAAGCTTTCTATAAAGGAGTGACATTTCAAATAACATTAGTGTTCGTCTAGTTTATTACGAAAGAACGTCGCATTTGGTGAAAAGATTTTGATTAACAACTTTTACTCTCTAAGGGTGTGTTTGGGAGTAGATTTTTTTTGGGGAAGGAAAGACATGTGAGAGTTGATGCCCTTTTATTTGCGTTTGAGAATTTAAAAAATTAGAGGGGATGATTTTAGATGGCTTTTATAACTTTTGAAAGCTCAAATTTTAAGTTCCCCATTTGGAGATTTTTTAAGGATAACAAATAAATGATAATTTTAGCTCTATTTATTTATTTATTTATTTATTTATTTATTTTTTTATTTATTTTTTACTCCAGGGGGTCTGGGGGGCTGGAGTAATCAGGGCTGAAACTCACTTCATTGATTTTCAAACCCTTATGTGCCTAGCGGGTTTCGAACTCGAGACCTTTCGCTAGGCACGGTAACCTCACAGCCTAGCTGGACTGGAATACTTGGTTAATTTAAAATGAATACAAGTTCAACTGTTTGAATTCAATATATATCCTAAGGGTTTCAATTACTACCTCCGTCCCCCTAAGTTTAGGAGAAGAGAAGGTGACACAGTTATTAATAAAAGTGGGTTTATGTGGTTGATATTGAATTGATAAAGTAAGAATAAAGTAGGAATAATTTAGAACCACACAAACTTTACCAAATAAGGTATGGAACAATCGTAGTGGGACGGACCGAAATGGTAAAATGGGACAATCATAGCGGGACGGAGGGAGTATAATTTTGTGTAGCCCCCCTTCTTCCCAAATTTATAACTCCCAAAGAAAAGCAAAGTTTTCTTTCACTTCCACTCCCTTCCTCTCTCATGGCTAACCTTCAAATCCCCCCTCCCCCTCTCCCAAACTCCCAAACAAACTCTAAAGTTTATGACCATTTCTTTCATGTTTGGGATTTTAAAAATATAAAAAGGATGGTTTGGGAGGGCTTTTGAGAGAGAGAGAGAGAGAGAGAGAGAGATAAAGATAAGAGATTTGATCTCATGCCGACGGCCTAACGGGAACTCCCGCACGGGCAAGTCCATTTTGGGCCCTTCGGCTAGAATATTTTTGAACATGTTCTTCATGAAGTTTAGATTACGTCTACCAAATTTCAACTTAAAATTGAATCGGGAAAACAATTAAATAAATTACTGAAACATTCTGCGTTTTTATACATATTAAAATTGCAGTACATTTAATAATTTATTTGATTGTCTTGCAGATCGAATTTTAAACTCAAAATATTATGGACCTCTGTTCTAAAAATCATTCTAGGCGCCCGACTAGTCCCCGCCTATGCGCTAGGCGGTGGTCGAGAGCCCCTATTTTCGTCTAGGCGCTCCAACTAATTTGTTTGCCGTCTAGGTGAATTAGTCGGCCGCCTATGGCGCCTAGTTGCCCGCCTAGAGCGCCTAATCGGCCGCCTACGCTGTCTAGATTCGTTGAACATTACTTTAATTTTTAATTTTAATTTTCTAAGCGATATACGTACTTGAACTTTAGCCATGCATATAAAGAAATGAAGTTTTAAATTAAGATAAACCTACATACTCTGATTCGTTAAAGGAAGGCTAGGCTTCGTCCTAGGGTTTTGGTGATGCGACAGCCTTCTTCAACCGCAAGGCTTTGTTCACAGGAAGTTTTTGTTCGCTGCAGGGAACCACTTCGCAGCAGGGTCTTCTTCCGTAGCAGGGAATCGATTCGAGGGGTCCTTGAGGCTCTTGGGTTTGGAGGTCTCTGGCGAGTCGAGAGAAGTTCCGGCTACTGCTAAGGATCGGCGCTTTCAGGTAATTGGGTCTATCGGCCTGGTTTTGGAGACGGGTGATTGAGCGTGAACACGGAAAGAGATGCTATTTGTGGAATTCAACGAAACAACAATGTTGAGGTTTGATTTCTCGATGTTTGTTTTGGCAATTTTGGTTCTATTAGTGTCTGAGATGGAAGTGGTACCGGCGGTGTTTGATCCCGGAGGAACACGAGCGGAAGATTACCTAGCCATGGATAGACGGATGAGTTGGAATGGAGAATTCCCGATACAAGTGTGGAAGGAAGAGCAAGGAGTGATGCTGTTTCGTCCCCCTCCTGAACCACCGCCACAGAAGAATTGTGGATTTAGGGGTTGGAAGAAGATGCTTGAAGGAAGTCATGAAGACTTTAGTTATTTCTACATTTTTTCCATTTCTTTTGTTCATGTTGCTTTTATTTTCATTATGAACTCTAGAGGTAGGCTGGTGTTTTGTTTTTCATTTTCTCAGGATGTTATTGTGGGTGGAAGCGACAAGGCTTGTTTGGCCGTTAAAAGCTTCAAAGCTCTCACATGGTTCGCGAATAGTCTCGCTCCTTTCGGGGTGGTCTATTCTATGTCTAGCCAAAGAGTGGGAGGGCCTTTTGGCTATGCGGAACCTCATGAGAAGGTTTGGCGTTACTCGTGGGGTAGTAATTTTAGATGCTTGATTGAGGAAGCTTGGGTTGATTGTAAGGGGGGAAGTATGTTGAGTCGTTTGATTGACATAATATAATCAGTTTCCTTTCAAAAATAAAATTAAGATAAACCTATATATGTTTGTATATATACCTAAATTTTATCATTAATTATATTTATACAATAATGAAAGTAAGTGATTAGTTATCATATACTATGTATGATTAAATGTGAGAATTCTATCTTTCATGTTTGTTAATGTATATGTATATATGTATTTTATACACACAAAAATACAATATTACTTATCATACTTATGCAAAAATATAGATAAAAATGCAATTTCTATGTCTCCGATTAGTCGCCCGCCTAGCCGCCTAGGCGCTAGGCGCCGGGCTGGCGCCCGACTAGCGCCTAGCACCTTTTAGAACATTGTTATGGACATAATCTAAAATTTATGATGAAAATGCTTAAAAAATCATCAAAAAATTCCATCGTGAAGGCCTCAAATGGCCTTGGCTGTACGGGAATTCCCGTACGTCAGACGATCCGCACAAGACAAGTTCTCTATATGTGTGTATCAAAATATTAAATATAAATGTAAAGATGCAGTTTGTATGAGTAGAGAGCATACTAGGAGATTATGAGTAGAGAGAATAGTAGGAGAATGACTACTTAATGAGAATTTTTATTTTAAAATGAATGGGTATTCGTAGAATATTTTAGGGACTGAACCCATTCCAGTCCCTAAAGAACACACCCGGACTGGGTAACATAAACCGAGGACAGCAAGGCCGCTTCTGGACAGGGATAGGAAACCGATCCCGGGTCAATCCCAAACAGTGCCAAACCCTTTTCTGGGCCAGTTGGGACTAGCGGACCTGATCCACCCCTAAGTCCAATCAGTTAGTTTAGACTACAAATATCTTGTTGTACGTTGAAATGACAATTGAAATGATTTTTGAAATATGAAAAGGCCTTAATTAATTAATTAATTAAATGATCATCATGTTGATATATAAGTCTGTTCTTGGTTAACTATTCACGCCCAAGTTGTCATAACTCACAACCACCACCATTATCGTCATCGTCGTCATCCTCGTCGTCGTCATCATCATCATCATCATCATCACTAACAGTGCCTAAGGGATCCACGTCATCGGCAGATCCATCGACCAAACTGGAACCAGCATTTCTCAGATCATCACTACGCATTGTTGTGACACTGTCATTCTCAATGTCCTCACTTTGAACATAAGCTGCTGCTTCGCCGCCGTCTCTCCAACCATAACTACTGACCAATTCATGATCCACTACTTTGGGTGCTTTCCTAGGACTCAACAGTACCAGCTCAGCCAGCTTCCTCCTTGCCGAATACAGACCGTTGGGTTCAATCAACTCTCCTCTCTTGTAAGCCTCTCTGAGAAACACAGTGTGCAGTTTCCCATGGTTCCCCCGCGTGGAGATGTAAAATATGCCCTGGTGCTGAAGGAGGAAGTCTTTGAGCTTCTTTGGCAAATCCATGGCCATCCTGAAATGTGCAATCCTCTCTAAAGTTATCTTCTTTTCAACGGTCAACCACAAGAGCTCATGAATGGTGGCAACCGCCCGCTTCTCCATCCTTTTCTGCGCTTCGAGAGACCTACAATCATACCCCGAGACATCCTCATACGGAGACCAATAAGGCAATCTCTGCCACTTCCACACCCCAATCCTGTAGTACTTCCCAATCTTAAAACCAGGAGGGAAATTCACAATAAACGAGAACCGTATATTCTCAGCCTCCCCGCCCTTCTCTCTATACTCTTTCTCTCTTGCTTTCTCAATACAGCACACCCCCATTTTCGGGTCTCTCTCTACAATCTCAATGTACTTGTGTCTACTCTCTCCTGTGCCATCAAACAATCTGAAATACTCAGGGTGCTTCAAAATTACCGAGTACTCAAAATCATCCGGCAGCCCAAACTCTCTCCGGGCAATCCGAACATGCTCCAACCGGAGTCGACCAGTGTTTGATAGCATCAGAAGCTTTCTTAGCCGGGTGATGGCATCCGGTATTTGGGCCAAAAGGGCTTCATTTTCTTGACACATCTGCAACTGAGCCTTGCGGGCGAACCTACAATTTTTTGTGACAGGGAATCAAATTTTATTGGACTGTCGGTTCCAGTCCTGATGAGATTAACTCAACAATTGGGTTTCCATGAACTCAAAAACAAATTTGAAATTACAATACTGTGTATGTGTAAATACATACATCCACACCATTCACTAACACGCATATTGATTTGAAATGCTTTAATAACACCAACAGGTTTACATTCAATTATTATTTGAATAATATTTAAATTTCAAATGCCATATATATAATTTAATATATGCACGATACATAGATACATGCACGCACAGCACAAGTATATGCATATGAGCAACACCTCCAGATATATTGATTGACATGGGTGTTTGTTTATGTATAAGCATTTCGAATATGAATATTTGAATAAAATAAAAAATATGCTAAGAAGATGGCCAAACCAAATACATTATTGATTTCTAGATTTAAAACAAACGGATATGAATACTCAATAATAGCCAAATTTATATGAATTATATCTTGATGACTAGATTTAATATGTTAACCCTACCTGCAATAGAGAATTCTCTGAACTGGGTGTTCAAATATCTCAAAAATGTGGGGGAATTTGAGTATGAATTTCGCTACTTCATGTTGTTTGAACCCAATCCTGCGTGACAGCACGTCCAAGTGAGAAACAGAGATCATGGAGTTCGGCTGGGTGAGGATTAGGTCTTGAAATTTCAGGACTTTACGTGTTTTCTTCTCCACCTCCATGTAGTTGTCAAAGCCATGGTCCCGCACCCGCTGCTGCTTCTTTGGAATAGCGGTAGACTGTGACATGGGTCTTGTACATTGTGCATATAGCATCTTCCACAGGGTGTGGGGGGTTGTGATGGGTTCAAATCGGCAGGTTTTCAAAATTGTCGTTGGAGTAAAAATTGCATATTTCATTTTGAAGGAACGAATATGGTATATTAGTTGGAGTCAGAGAATCTCATACATCAGTACAATTGCAACTTAAATGGATAGTAGTTGGATAGAAAAAGGCCAAAATGCAACTCTTCAGCTTTTCTACTTCACCCTGTCCTGGTGATTACAAACAAAAAAGTTCAAAAAATATCACGAAATGATTACATGCAAAATAAAGAAAAAGGAGATAGACAAGGAATGCTGATATTTTACTGTTCAAGCAAAGAAAAAGATCACAGTGAACCATCACAAAATAATTGCAGGGGTGAGCACTAACAGTTTCAGCATAAAAATGAAATAATCAGAATCTTATTTAGGTGTCCTGTATCTACTGATACCAAGCCAATGTACCAAACTACCAATGCAACTTATCAGTTCATGTCGGCTAATCAAAGTTTCAAAGCCTCAACTTTTAGTTGCTTACCATGCCAAAACAGATAGTAGTAATCATATGCCATTAAGTCATTTAACTTGTCATGATAACATGAATTAAACGGGGATAGTATTTAGGAAGAACAACCGCATCATGAGCATTAAATTGGTGTTAGGGGATCAGATCATGTCCGTGATAATTGTCTGTGCACCACAAGTGAGATTGGATACATCTATCGTTCAACAATTCTGGTAAGATGTTGAGGAAGTGGTGGTACAAGGGCCATGGGGAGAGAAAATGGCCATAGTAGACGACCTCAATGGGGATGTGGGCTCGAGCCATGATGGTTTTGAAAGTATTCATGTCAAACATGATTTTGGCACTAGAAATGAAGCGGGAAATAATATGTTGGATTTTTTCTTGATGTACGAGTTGACTATAATGAACACTTGGTTCAAAAAAATAGACTTTGACCTTGTGACCTGTACTCAAATTGACTACATAATACGAACTACATGGAGACCTAGCTACATTGATTGTAAAGTTATCCCAGGTGAGAGTGTTGTCACTTAGTATAGAATGCTTGTGTTTGATTTTCGAGGCAAGAAACATAGAAGAAAGCAACAAGTGCAGTCAAAGATAAAGTGATAGAGGTTTGAGGGGGTCTCTAACAAAGTTATGCACACAAAGTGTTCGGTAAAGATATATAGTGTATTGATAATGACACACATTTGGAAGATATGTGGGTAATAATGGAGTTGACAATTAAAAAAGTGACTATTTTGTGGTTCCCTACAAATTTTTGAACTGTGAACACAGCGTGAAATCAGTCTTTAAAATTTTTGTACCTAAAGAGCAGGTGAAATCAGTTCATGCTCTCACTCAGCAATCCAGCGTCTTCGCATACAGTTTTCTATTGCCTAAACTGATAAATACAGATCTATTAATGTATAGCTAAATAGCTAATACTGAAGATATTTTGATGTAATCTATACTCCCGATATTCTTAAAAATAAAGAATGCATCACAGTATGCTTCAAAATAATGGATACTGCCAACATATAAAAATGCAGATTAAAAAAATTATAAAAAATACGGCCTTGTCAATTTGTCATTCTTTTATAACAAAGAAAGTAGCTATCAGTAACCTCAAAATGAGGTCTGTAAAGTGGTTGTTATCTTACAAAATGCGCTAACTAATGATCCCTAGGGTAGTTGTTTCGGACTTGAAATGTTTTTAACATTGATCGATTTTTTTTAATGAATAAACCATCTTCAATTTTGAGACAAAGAACCTCAAAATGAGGTCTGTAGAGTGGTTGTTATCTACAATTATGTTCATATATGTACAATCAAAATGAGACTGATTTTTTGTTTGAGAATACTCCGTATTTGATATGGTTGGAAGTTAAGGTAGCTGGCACTGAATATGGAAGAACGAAATACCTGGATATGGAAGAGTAATGAATGGTCGATCAGAAGTAGTATGGCGGTGAGGCGGGCGGGGTGCGGCAGCGGTGGACGGTCGGTGGTACGGCGGCGGGTCTGTCGAAGCGGCGCGCCGGACACCGGGGCAGTGGTTGCTCTTTGGCTCGTCCTTGTCGGGGAGTGTTGACTGTTGATATCGAGGGACTGTGGACACCGCGAGGAAGAAGCGGACAGCGGAAGCGCATCACAGCAACCGCTTTAGTGTTGGGCCTAGATTCGTGTGCATCAGGTTTAGGAGTTTTTCGGTGGCCCACGTTTCCTTGGGAAATTCTATTTACCGTTTTTTTTTAAAACAAATCACATAATTATTATTATTGATAATAAGGGTATCAAGAAATATAATAATCTAAAGTTAAACATTATAATTATAACGTTCAAAGCTACACCAAGGTGAGACAAAGAACAAAAAAACTTACAAAAGCGCTCATGTTCGCTAACCTTACAATGATGTAGACTAGTACCACAGTCTGAATGTTCAAGCTACTCAAAATGAATTTAGGTTGACCAGCCACCGAAAAAAAATTACTGAATTTCCCAATTTTTCCAACCACCGGTAAGGAGTCAAGTGCATAATTTGTTCCGGTTTCAGCGGCAATTGGAAAGAAAGTAATTCATGCAATCACATCTTACTGGATCGACAGTGGTTTAGTAGAGGGGCGATTAGCCTCAATATTGTTGCAGAAGAAATCCAGATTCATGATTGATAAAGTCGCTGGAGATCTAATACTAGCACACAAGAACACCCGACCGATGATGGCGGGGAATATATATCTGGCATCCGACCGATCTAGACAACACTAGAAAATAAACCTATAGATAGAACTGAAAATAGTGATTAAATGAATCCTTTTTCATAATTGAAGCAAAAAGAATTGAAGGGGGAGAAGAAAAAAGAAGAGGATGTGGGGGCTAGGGTTTCCCCCGCCGCTCCTCTCTCTAGACCTCACAGTGAAGGCAATATGAATTATTTACAATTACTTATGGAATTTTATTTATTGAGGACCTGAAAGATAGACGAAATATCAAATCGTGACATGAAAGATGAAATGTATCGGTATAGGACCGAATGATGGAAATCATCAATCTAGGACCCGAATGATTGAAAACTGTCAAATATAGGACCTGAGTTGTCAGAAAAATTATTTCTTTAAAAGAAAATATTATTTATTTATTTTAAATAATAAACATTTATAAAGAAAAATTCATCAAATATTAACAATGGAATTAACAAAAAATTAAATGAATCAAATCTTTGAAATATTAGGTCTTAGATTGATAGTTTTTCATAATTTGAGTTCTATAGCGATACATTTCACCTTTCAAGCCCCGTATTGATAATTCGTGTATCTTTCATGTCTTGGACTTACTTACTTATTTACTAGGTGCAATAAATGTTCTAAAAGACGTAAGGCGTATCGAGGCAGCGCGACTAAGACTCAAGCCTTTGAAGCCTAGGCAAGTTTAGACGAGACATAGGCGTGAAAAGTCTGGCGTTTTGATTATTTCATCATAAATTTAATTTTCTTACCCTCGTCTCACTAACATTGAGACGTGAAGAGGTGGTAAACTAATTAAGAAAAAAGAGTTTATATGATTGATATTGAATTTATAAAGTAATACTGATCCAGAATGACATAAACTTTACCAAAATTGTTAAGTAAGAATTTTAGTAGGACAGATCGAAAAGGAAATATGAGACAATCTTAGTGGAAGAAAAGAATATTACATAATATTACGCGAAAACACAATTACCTTCTGAATAAAATAAAAGTAAATTTCTAATGTTCCTAGAACACCACTTCCAATTAGATGTTTTTAATTGGATTGAAATTTTCTGAGCTTACTTGGTCTGGTCTCAATTTGTTTGGTCTGGTCTTTCTTGCATCTTTTTATTTTATATGTCTTTTGTCATTGTCAAAAATTAGTCTCACCTGGTCTGTTTAAGTCTGGTATGGCTTAATTGATCGAAATTTATATGAACAAAAATCAATCCAATTAAAACATCATTAATTTTCAAAAATTAGATTTAGAAAAGTAGCCAGGTGATCAAGATGATAATAATACAAAGTCAAATTAATAATAATAATAATAATAATAATAATAATAATTACTATAAGAATTACTATAATTTCAGTATAAGAATTACTACAATTTCAGTATGAAGTGATACTTAGAGGCCGTTTGGAGCCTAGAAAATGGGTTGATAAACCTTAAAATGTAAAAAGAAAGCCAAACACATGTCATTTAGGCTGTTTGGACTGATTTTACTTATCAGCCAAAAAAAGTAACAAAATAGTTACTTTTTCAGTTGAAACGTATTAATGGACTGTTCAAAACCAAAAATACTCATTTGCCGCGGAGGTGGTGTTAAGGTATGGACTACTGCTGCCTTGAATGACAAAAGCAAAAAATAAGCAAATACCCTTAATGGTCATTTTACATTCAATTAGTCATTTCAGTCAACATATTACCAAACACTTTCACTTCATCATATTCAGCCTTTTCAGATTTCTTAGCCCTTCCAGCCGTTCCAAACATGCCCTTAGTAACATAGTTTTTGGTGAATTTTATGTAGCAGGTATTTTATTCAAATGGCTTGTATATGTGTATAAATATCATAATTGGGAAAAGTGTCAAATAGGTCCCTACTACTACGAAAATGTCAATGAAGTACACAAACTCAAATATCACCCAATTAAGGAGTTTTTTCCACTTTTAGTCCTCCGACTATTATGTCATTGACATTTTTGGTACTCGACTTTGATTTTTTTCATTTTTAGTCCTTGACTATTGCGCTAGACACACTTTTGATACCCGTCTTTGAAAATTTCCATATTTAGTCCTTCAACTTTCATAAAAGTGACATTTTTGGTCCTTCAACTATTATGATAGTGACTTTTTTAGCCCTCTACTTATTGTGTCAAAATCATAATGGGGGGACTAAAAGTGTCAATTTAACAATACTCAGGGACTAAATGTGGGAAACCTTAAAGTCGGGGACTAAGAGTGTCTCCAACACAATAGTCAAGGACCAAAAATGGAACAATTAGAAGTCGAGTACCAAAAGTGTCATTGACATCATAGTCGAAGGACCAAAAATGGCAAAAACTCCCCAATTAAGCATGTGAACTTGTAAACAACGTCTGAATCTGCTTTGTATCAGGTGATTCACAAGTTATCAGATAAATGACAACACGTGGCGGCACATGGTGTGAGGTGGCACTTAATTATTTTATTTTCCCTTTTCTTTTTCTTTCTTTCTTCTTTCCTTCTTCCTTCCTCTCTTTTTCCTTCCTCTCTTCTCCCGTTGACCCTTTCTTCGCCCAACTTGTGCTCCTTCGAATCTATTTGCTCTTGATTTCATTTTTGGGTCTCTCCTCTTTGGTTCAATTACAATGCCAAGCTCCCCCCTTTTTATGTAAGAGTAAAACCAAGCTCCTCCATTTTTCTCATTTCTATTTGATTTTTAGATTTTGACATGCCCATCCAATCTACGGATTCACAAGAAATATAAGAATAGAAAATGAAATAACATATTAATGGGGATGGATGGTGAAGACCGGAACTTTATGACATGGGAAGTTGGTATGAAAGGATGACAAAGTGTGGTGAAGATCACTGGCGCTCGAATCCCAAGCGGGTGAACCAGCGGCGGTAGTGTAACACCCCCATTTTTCCCACCAAAATAAAATAACATTTTGAAATGAAAACATCTTTATTATAAAACATATTTAGAGTACAGCGGAAGTCTTTGATGGAAAAACAAGTGTGTCACCGCCACACTCAACCTATACATGATTGAGTGCACAGGCTATCCACCATTAATTCAAGTAGCCATCAGATAAAACTTGAACAAAGTTTATGGATTACAAATTTAAACAACAATAATTAATCAAACGTGTGCAACTAGCGGAACACTCGGGCAGCAAGTACATCAATCTTCATAATCATAATCATCTGTACAATAGAGCAAAGAGAAAAAGAGAAAAGAGACAAAAATTAGCTTTAGAGCTAAGTAAGATTCCACCCGAACCCGTAAAATAATATAATTTGGAAAATAGGTTTTTGTATATGTATATATATTGAAAAGTAGTCTCTCATATTTTCAAAATGGTTTAATGTCATAAAATAATTTCCACAATAGATAATATCATCCTTCAATTCTTCCAAAAGTAATACTTTAGATTCTTTTAAGAGTGGGCGAAACTCAAGATTCCTCGAGCCCAATGAGTTGTTGTTATGTACGACTCATCCCGGAATTCCGGCTCCCACCGACCACCAATTGGAAGCTGAATTTCTACCTTAAGTGTGCACACCCTCTAAAAGGGATTCCAAGCCCTCCGAGTAGTAAGAAACCCAAGTAGGCAGGATGTTTTCTACCACCTACTCACAAGGGACATTGTCCAAGGGTAAATTAGGTAACTACTACTACGACAACCAAAGGATCTTTGATCCTCAAATAAAAGCCCGGGATGTCTACCGGAGTATGTCTTTGCCGGACTGGTTACCGACCCAAATAAATTTCACCAAAAGTAGTAGTAGCCCTAACCACCCACGCCTCGTGTTTCTCTCGAGACGTAAGAATATATATTATGAAAACTTTAAGTTTTCCCCAAATCATTATTGTCACATTTTCTCAAAATATCCTTTGTAATAAATATAAATCCACCAATATTCTTTAATAAAAAGAATATACATTTAATCATCCATAAAAGTAATAATCCACCAATATTCATATAGTCAAAATATTTGATCCATGTCAAACATATAATTTCCAATTCATAAATAATTCACATAGTGCAAATATTGCACACATATAAGTACGAGGCAAAACATTTTGGTTGACATAGAACTTACCTTAAATTGCGATAATCTCCTTAATAAAATCTCTAGCTTGATCTTCACTTGAATTCTCCTTCTAATATTGATCAAAATTCTAAATCAATAACTATTCTATTATTTCGTTATTTCTTTTATATCCAACCTTTAATTACTTTAACTTCATAATTCCTTCTTTAAATATAAATATTAAATTAATAAATCTTACTAACTATTTATTTCCAGTTCATTCTTATTATTTTCTTTAATTATAATAACCCAACTCGGTTTTTCTTAATTTGTTTGGTTAAATAGTTAACTAGTCCAATTATATTAACTACATAATAATTTCATTATTTCGAATTTAAATAATCAATTTCAGTTCAAAATTCAGTTTACATAATTTATATAATTTATTTAATAACCC